AATCCAGCAAATGTCTTAAGATGCTAATACGGTTCTCTGATTGGTTCATGCGCTAGCTTAACACCATTTCGAATCTTGAGCAACGTCCACAGATTCCGCCCTATAATAAGAGACTGGCATAAGTTCTAGTTGGATAGAAATGGTAATTATCGTTCACAGGACGATAAGTCATAGGACGTGTTCGTAACTAGGACGGAAAAGCAGAAAAACTAGGAAAGCAGAAACCAATCAGAATTCGGGCTGTACTATCTATTACTAGCACGATTTTTGATTGGCTTCTGCCATTCCATATCCAACCAATCAAAAATTAGCCCCTCTATACTAGTCCCTTATTATATCTCTACTTTCAGTGCATTCCAGTGTTAAGCCTTATTGCACGGTCACGCCTCATGGCTCCTGCATGGCGTCACATTTTGCCGCGCGGCAAGCGTTTCCGCGTCCAGTGTGCAAGAGCCATCATGGTGCGGAACGTATACGCAATGCGGAATTGGCGGAACGATCCGTCCAATCGCAAGCATTCTATCAATTGCGCTTCGCCGATATGTCTTTTCTAAACTAATCACGAACGTTTCGCCATTCCTCATTGCGTCAATTCTGCATCATAGAACCGCACCATTAGATTTGTTCGCGTCGCATGCTCCAACATGTTTCAATGGCTGCGTTCAGCAGAACGTTTGTTTTGCAACTGTTGGAAGTTTCCTTCGCGCTGATTGGATCATACTTTTAGATCTAGAAGAATGGTCCTATCTCAGCAGACAATCATAAAACGGTTGCAAAACTGTTGAGTCTGCTGAACGCAGCCATTATGTTCCTACCATAGCTCTTACTCACTCCAACGCGCTTGATAGAGTGAGTAGGAGCTACGATAGGAGCATGTTGGAACATGTTGGAGCTTGCGACGCGAACAAATCTCTTGTGTCCACGATGTTAGATCGTAAAATGTGTAGCCAATCAGCTTATAGTTTTTACGGAAAAAACCGGCAAGTTGATTGACTACACATTTGTCGATCCGAGAACTCAGACCGAGTTCTAAGGTTTGTTCGCGTCGCAAGCTCCAACATGCTCCTACTATAGCTCGTACTCACTCTATTAAGCACGTTGGAGTGAGTAAGAGCTATGGTAGGAGCATATTGGAAATGCATGTTGGAGCATGCGACGCGAACAAACCTTAGAACTCGGATCGAGTTCTATTATTGTGAACACAAGGCTTTAAAGTTTGCCCGGATTCTCATACGGGCTGTGGTTAAAATCTCGCTACAAATGCTTTGAAGCGTTTGATTAGAGAGAAATCTGAGAGTGAACATCCCGACCTTTTTCGTGTACTAAATTTCGTAGAATAATATCCACGTTTTTGTGGTTCTTTTCCGTATTATTACGTGGATTAGGGTGCGTTCACACCTTGACGGAAAAGCAGAAAGCGGAAAAGCAGTGGCTAATCACAACTCGCGCTGGTAATAAGTAGTACGAAATTGTAGACTATCAACGCGAGTTCTAATTGGCTGCTGTTTTTCCGCTTTCTGCTTTTTCATCAAAGTGTGAGCGCGCCCTTAGACAAAGACGAATAATCAAATTTGATTATTCGTCTTTGTCTAATCCACGTAATAGCACGGAAAAGAACCACAAAAACGTGGACATTATCCTATGAGATTTGCTACACGAAAAAGTCCGGAATGTCCACTCTCAGGTTTCTCTCTGGTTTAATGGACCAATTAGAAAAAAGAATTTTACAAATTGATCAATTAAAAAACGCTTCAAAGCATTTGTAGCATCGCGTTGATCATACCCACGGACAACAGCGCTTTCACATCGAACTCTGATTGGTGAAAAATGGGATGGGAGTAAATTTTACCTCCACAACCGGCTTTTTACCAATCAGCGCTCGATGTCAAAGCGCTGTTGTCTGTATGAGGATCTAGGATATATCCACACAAACTTGCATATCTGCATAAACATATGCATAAAGAAAATTATCCAATTACATTTCTCTTTTAAAGTCACACGTAAAATGTGATTGGATAATTTTCTTTATGCACACGTTTATGCGGTTATGCAAGTTTGTGTGGCTGTGGATATATCCTTATAGCGTTTTTCATTGGCAAAATTAAAGTGCACACTCAGTGCACTTTAAAGTCGTTGTACACAAATCGACTTATGCCCGTTTCCACCAATGGGTGCATTCAGTATCACGACCGCTCACCAGTACCATGAGCGCTCAATGAGTTCTTGTATCTGTTTGCTCTATATTTTTAGTTCTAATATATGCCAATAAAATGCAAGCGCTCACTGAGCGCTCATTGAGCGGTTGTAGTACTAAATGCACCCAATGTAGATTAACTTTAATTTCAGTTCAACCTACTCTTCATCTATTTTCTAGTTCTAAAGATTAGAAGAAATAAAGAGTAAGTTGAACCGAGGTCAAAGTTAATCTACATTGGTGGAAACGGGCAATAAAGATGTACGTTTAATAAAAATATAGAAACGAATTAAACTGCGAAATATTCAATACATTTTATTATAAAACTATACAAAAATTCGGTCAATGATCGAGCTCATAAAAAGATATAAAAATAAATTTATGAACGATACATTTATAAAAAAACTAACATACAGCATGTATAATAAATGTTGAAAAAGGACCTGTGGTTACGAAACGTATGTTAGTTTTTTAATAAATGTATCGTTCATAAATTTATTTTTATATCTTTTTATAGCTCGTTCACTAACTTTTACTGAATTTTTGTATAGTTTTGCTTTGCGTAATACGAGCGAATTCTTACTTTTATTATATTTTATTGTATTATTTGATAAAGTACACATTGGGCATTTTATCAATTAAGATATCTCACTTTTACATTTAGATTAGAATAGTATACAATAGCTTTAATGTGCACTGAGTGCGCACTGGTTCTGCTAATGAAAAACGCTATTAGAGTAGTGTCCCATGAGGTATATTTGACGCGTGTCACGTAACCGCGTAACCAATTAGAAAAGCGATTCGTTGTTGTGGTTTCGCGTTTTACTGATTACTGATTGGTTAAACGCGATTGCGCGTTTTAAGCTGGAAACACAGACTTTCAAAATTCACTGCAGTACTGAAAATGTACAGTATACGTGACGTAAACTGTAGATTTTCAGCGCTGGCAGTGAATTTTGGAACACAGCCACAATAGGCACAGGCAATAGGAACAAAGAACAAGAAATAACGAGCCGTCCAATCAGTGCTCTGGGGTATAGGTTCGATATTATACTCCCCAGTTTTGATTGGACGGCTTATTATTCTCTGTTTCCTGTTCCTATTGCCTGTGCCTATTGTGTTTCCAGCTTTACGCAGCAAATATATCTTATGGGATTCCATCCTTAGGCCGCAGCACTTTTGCATTAGTTCGGATCTACAATAGGTGTTTTAAATCGAATGCGAAGAGAATAATTGACTATGATTCGTCCATTTCTTATGGCTTAAGGCTTATAGATCCAGACTTATGTACAAGTCCGGATTTACAATAGGTTTTAATCCTTAAGCTATAAGAAATTCACCAATTACAGTCGAATGCGAGGAGAATAATTGACTATGATTCGTCCATTTTTTATAACTTAGGCCCGATTGCACCAACATTACTTTGACTTTAATGGGCTTTCTACAATAAGTTATTACTTAAGGGTGAAATTATACGGTGCAGAAAAAGATTGCGAAATAGAGAATGCGTCATTGAAGCAACCAATTAGCGCTATTCGGAATAGCGCTGATTGGTTGCTTCAATGATGCATTCTCTATTCCGCAGTATTTTTCCGCATCGTATGATTTCACCCTAAGTTTTAAATCATAAGAAATTAACCAATCACAGTCGAATGTAAGAAGAATAACCTCGGATTTACAATAGATATTTTAAGCCTTAAGTCGTAAGAAATTGACCAATTACAGTCGAATTCAAGGAGAATAATCGACTATGATTCGTCCATTTCTTATGGTTTAAGGGTTAGAACTCTATTGTAGGTCTGGACTAATTGATTATAATTGGTTCATTTCTTATAGCTTAAGACTTGAAGCTTAGGTAATGACTTATTGTAGAAAGCCCATAAGCGAGGCTTATAACTTTCACTTTCTCTCTTTAAAGCCGAGAGAGTGGGAGAGATATAGAGAATTTTAAGCTTCGCTTAAAGTCATGGACTACATTTACACGACACCCTTAATCGAGTTTAATAACATCCGTAGTTATGAACGACTGGCCAATCACAGTCGTTCCATTCTTCCGAGGAACAACGGTGATTG